TGAATGCTAATATCTAGAGTTTAGATTTATCAACATTCAAACAAATTATATAGGAAGCATTATTAGAAGGGTTTCTATTAACATACCGAAAATAAATTAAAAATACTGAAAAACAAAAAAGTTATAAAATACGATTTTTTTCAATTTGCATCTCGTAACGACCGGAAGTACTGCCGACGCACGAAAAGGTGATTCTGCAATCCCGAAAGTCATGATCTATCATCTCCAATAAGTCTCCATATCATATACTTAGCCGTTTTTGACAAAAAGGGGCGACAAAATCGCATTTTAAAATCAGGAAATTGTCCATAACTTGGCACCAGAAGCGAATTTTCCACATTTCTCTTAGGATGTAACAATTTCATATAATGACACATATTTTGTGAAAGTTTCATGAAAAACCGCTGAATAGTTTTCGAGAAATCGCCTGCACAAAATTTTGTCAAAAAAAAGAATAATAATAAGAATAATAATAATAAGAAACAATAGAATCACTATAAGGTCTTCCGTGAAGACGGAAGACCTTAATAATAAGAAACAATAGAATCACTATAAGGTCTTCCGTGAAGACGGAAGACCTTAATAAGAAACAGTAGAATCACTATAAGGTCTTCCGTGAAGACGGAAGACCTTAAAAAGAAATAATTAGCTAAGTATATCTTTCATTTTGTCTTCTTTGTGATCTTAAATGAAAGAAAAACGAAAGGAAGGATTAAGGAAGAAGGACAAGATTTACCAAAACAAAATAAAAATTTACTGTGGAAATGTGATCTGAAATACAGTTTTCAGTTGTACGAACGATACTGCTACAATAAAAGTAGTAATTTTTATTACATAGCAAAAAGTTACAAGATTTTTTTTTACATTTCCATTTTAATTCAAAAAAGAGAAAAAAAAACAAGATATATAGATAATTAATATCAAATAAAAAACAATTACTTTGAAACAGCACTGATATTTATAAAAAAAATTGTGTGATATCCACGCCATTTAAAAAGTCAAAGAGTTGACATAATATACAAATGCAAGAAAAACACACCAATATCCTTTACGAGTATACACATTCAAACAAATAATATACTGATATTCCTTTTAACAATTGGCTTCACAGGAATAGTTATTCATATGGCATCAAATGTTTTTCCAGTTTGCTTTAATTCCAAGAACACAGAAAGAGATTGTAACGCCAAATTATAAATTTTAATTTAATTTTTCTAGATTAATCTGAATTAAAAATAGATGTATATTCTGAACTTAAACTGAGAGAGATGAAAAATTGATACTTGTTCCTACAAAATATCTTATTATGTAAGTAGTTGTAACATGCAGCGACATACATAAACAGTAAACATAGTTCAACAAAAGCCTTTACAAAAGATCTTTGTAGCAAGAATAAATCCAACACTTAATTTTTAATGATTTGAACGAAAGCTGTAAGAATTTGTATTCCTATTTCATCATATGTTCACTCCATTCATATTGAAATCGTACTTGCAACTGTTGCGTTGTTTTCCATAGGCTTTTGATATGCTATCCTTTTCTTTTATCCATAATGGTCTTTGAGAAGTAATTTATTATTTTTGGCCTTATATTTTTAGTTCATACTTTTCATAGGACATCTGCATATTAAATGAATGGCATACAGAAGTACACGATCACGAAATTCTGTTTAAAGCATCAACGCTGCAAACATCTTTAGAACAAATCTAAATCGGATGAAATATTTTTTAAAAAAAATCACCAGGTGCATATAATAGGATTATATGTTAAGGACACAATGACAACTCGTATGAAACATTATATTCTAAGAGGTTCCATATTGAAAAACCTGTGAAACATTTTACTGTACTTTTTCTAGGACGAAGTATTCATCTGTCTCGGCTTTTTCACTTGATTTGACGTCATCAATGGATTCACCATCCTCTGAACGTTTAACATTTCCATCGCTATCCACAGTTACAGTGCCGTATCCGTGAGATGGTATTGGTGCATTTACTGACGATTCTTGCATTGCTTTTACGTGATCGTCTCGATTTGTATCGTCAATTGTTTGACCCTTCTCAATGGGAGTTTTATGAAATAGGTCTTTTGAATTTCTCTAAAAGATTAAGGATTAAAAAGATATAAAAATATAAAGATATCTGGATTAAAAATATCAGTGTACAACTTTTAATGTTTAGGAAAAAAATGTTGATTTTGTAATGCTTAACTAGTTATTTTTTGTAAGATGATTTTTATCATGTGTGTGGGCGCTGTATATTGAAATGTTATTCAATGATTACTAAGGAATTTTAAATGTGCAAATAAGGTTATAAAACATTTCATTTAAGACTCTACTTCAAATGACAAAACAAAATACCTTTTCAATATTCAGTCCTCCGAAATAAAATTATGAAAGTCTTGACTAAAATGACAAAACTTGGAGCCTTGATTAACGAAAAAATAGTCTTTGATGAAGAAAAGAACACCTGCGGTGCAGAGAGGGGCCTTATACAGTTAGTCCAAATACATGTATATACTATCGTGGGTATACTTTGATTGCATTCTAATTAAAATGACTTCTTAGATCCGCCCCGTATACACTCTATGTCTTCTTACGCAGAGTGTACATGGCGTGAATCTATGAAGTCGAATTTTAATTAGATTGACTTTGATTGGAGATTGGTGCCTTGATTTTTTCTTGCGACAATTAATGGTTCTAGAGAAAATGTACAGGTGATATAAAGACAATCAATAAGTACTAGTGTAATTTTGATAGCGGGACAATGAACACCCACTAAACAAAACAAATATTTGCAAGATAAGTGCAATTTTGAGGATTTTATGCACTCCTTTCGACCTTTGAGAATGTTGACTCTGTTTCTTTTTATTTTCTTGATTGACTCTCTTGGTTCTTTTATCTTCTAGGATATTTTGGACAATTTTTTTCACCATTTGTTTTGATATATGTTACAAAGAGCATCCGTCGCCCGCGTGGCGCAGTGGGTAAAGCGTCTGCTCTAGAGTCGCGAAGTAAGGAGTTGATCCGTACATCGCAGTTTGAATTCCACTGTAGGACGTTGAGACCGGTCCTTCGGATGGGACCGTATAAACCGAGGTCCCGTGTCGCAGTAAGTGCTTGCACGAAAATGATCCATCCAGTCCCTGCTCAATGGCCCTTTTTGCCAAGTATAGGACAAAATTTGCAGCTCTCCATTGGCAAGCGGTGGCGTCTCCATATGAGTGAAAATTTATCGAGAGGGAAGTTAAAGCTGAACATGACTCGTAATTAGGCATACACCATTTTCGATATGTTGATACCATAATGTACGATACATCAACACAGGGTATACTCTTCAGATTAGTAACACCTGACTGCTTTATTGTCACGGGTATCGGCGTGGAATGGTGATCCGTGTTCGTGCTTGTTATCTTGCATTGTCTTTATTTACATTTAATTGCAGTTACGTTTATCGGTGTTTGTTTGTATACTGTACTGACTTGAACAATTATAATTGTAAGTTTCTTTGGTATCTTACGTATCGAAATGCTGTAAAGCATGCGTCCGTCTAAAAAGTCCTGCCCTTTATATAGTGGTCTACAGGTGTAGCGATTCTCCGAACAAAAATGGTGGACACATTCCTTTTACAAATCGTGTTCAGCTTTAAACAATATACAATTAATCAAACAAAAACAACGTATTCTATTGAAAATCTAAGATCAAATTAAAATCAATTAGAGTTTCACCTTCTTATCTTCAATTTCGGAGTATATTCCGTTTCCACTATTATCATAACCCTGTTCCATTGGTTTTGAAAGGCAATGCTGAGCATAATTTCTTATTTGATGAACCCCTGATTCCTGCTTTCTAATTGTAAAATAAAATAATTTTTATTTTATTTTAAGTACTAGAACTGCAAAATTGAAACTAAATGAAACAATCATTATAATAAATGAATCAGAGATACAGATGCAATTAGTCTGTGTGTGAGGGAGGTGTTTGTTTTTATTTTGTTTTTTGTTTTTGTTTTGTTTTTTGTTTTTTTTTTTTTTTTTTTTTTGGGGTGTTTTTTTTTATTTTATCCGTCTGACTATCCACATGTCTAATACATATACGTAATCAGCTTATCTGTTTATTTGTTTGTCCGAATCTTTAACCTTATTTATAAATTTTGATGTTAGTGCTTTCATATTTCATATTCCAATTGTATTTCTGGTGACAAGACTTATTTTAAAGTACCAACATATTTGACCCCTTTGCCTTCACCTTGTGGTGGGAGGTATTTTTGCGAGCTTTCATTATATCCAAAGCGTAAATGATAACTGCAAAACTCTTATATGAACATGTGTATACTATGTCCCTACACTTTTCATTAACTTCAGTTTTAAATATTCAAACTTGATTTTCATTTTACACATTTTTACGAGCTATTAATATGAACGGCATTTGAAAAAAATGAAACATTTTCTTAAAATTAAAATATAACTTTAAATACAACTTTTGAACGGAAGATATTTAAAAGACCGTGATTGAGATATTGAGTGATAGACAAATGAAGATATTTTGAAAATGAATAAAATTTAAATTTTTATATGTTAATGCTAAAAAAAAATTATCAACATATCTTTTTCTCTGTGTGTGTGATCTTCGGCGGAGATAAATGCAGATAAAGGATGTTACAATTGATCCAAATACCACTCCTCCTAAGGCGGTCCCCACATATGCTAACGATGAATCTGTATTACAGTAGATAAGGAAAAAATATCAGTCTTGTTCTCTGTAATGTATTGTGCCTTAGTTCTTTAAAAATTATTTCGCAGATTTAATATAGTATCATGTGTAAACATACATTAAAGACCAACCTGTATTGTTATTCTTTATCAAGAGTGAAGAGTCTTTACCTTAAAAATTCCATTAAGTACAACATTTAGTATATATCAATCAATATAATTATTAGATATTTTGTAAACTGTAAATTGGTATAGGTATAGATAACCATCGAAACGTTTCCTTAAGGACCGGCATTCAGATTTTGAACAACGTTTTGTTGTTGTCAACAAAGAGGTATTCAACCATCAAATTTGTACACTCAAAAGACAATGAGCTCTCAACATACAAATGATACATGAAGCAATATGCATAAAAGTGATTGGTCTCAGTCTCTTCGAAGCCTAGGATCCATTACTATTGCAAGAGATTTTGAAGACAAGGATGAGCAGCGACAAACCAAAAATCTTGTGTATCACTATGTTAGTATGTTAGTCTCTTTTCTAGACTGACCAATCTTCTAAAACAATAACAACGAAAAAATATGTCTAAGGGTTTGTTATTTCATTGGGTTTTTTTTCTAACCTATAATTCAACCAGAGTAAAATCAAAAGCTCCGGACGATCATGAAATTTTACTGCTACGGAATTAATAACATCACCCTTGTTGCATAGATCGGCACAGTGACTACATGATGCCAAGACATCCTATATGACGCATGAAAAATAAGATGTGGTTTCAATAGAAATATTGCCCTGTGATTTTATAAAATAGGGAAGTGATGTAAAAAATTAAAATTTCACCCTTTCTGAATTATTAAAATTCCATGCAGTTAAAACCTACAAATTGTTTTTCTTATATGACCGGCTAAATGCTGAATGTGACATCAAGAACTTGTACATTTTCCCGTATTTTCTACAAAAGTTGCAGAAAACAATAATTTTCAGTGGATTTAAAAAAAAAAAAACAGCACATGTATCGCTACAACATTTTTTATTTATGTTATTTTCAAAGCATTTTACAAAAAAATACATGTATTGAAAAATTAAAGTGGCCGACAGCTGTGGACATAAATTTCTAATAATAATAATAATAACCACAGAATCTGAATGAGTCAATTTGAGGCTTTTCGGCAGAACACTTAGAAATGTACTATATTAATGACGTCATATCACAGAATGATCTTCCATTATGCCAATTTTTAATGATATATTTTTATTATATTCATCTATTCAACTCATATTAAAGACAATTTCGTAACTATTTAAGAATATTGATTTTTTAGGGAACAATGAAGACGAAACTGTACCTTGTTCTTTACACTAGTGTAGCAACAGCACTCATTTTATTTGTAAAGAATCATTTGAGAGAAGAGACAGTTTGATGTTTCAGTGGTATATTTGATAACGAAGAAAGCAGAGTAAACCCGATCGTTTCACATGCAAAACATCTCCGGATGACGTGAGGCACCGATGCTCCGACACACAAATGTTTATAATTTCACCGAAAATTATCTAATTATCGTATTAATTAGAAATTTTGTACATGTATCACTGTTTCATTTGTTCTTTATAGAATGTTGACGAATTTTCCCTGAATTTGTCTCTTTTTTGGATTTGAAGTAATTGTCTCAATAATTTCTTAACAGCCCTCGTATTGTTATATCAGGACGATAAAAATGTAAAATAATATATGACGCGCAAAACATACTTTCGCTATAAGGTGGTGTATTTCTGGAACTCTTCTCTTCAGTGAATAACGAAGGGGATGCTGTCGACGAAATCTGTGTCACAATTAGCTTGTCATCTATAAAAAAAATAGGAGAAAGTTATGTATGTTACAGTTTTTACTATGATGTTATATTTTTTATTCCAAAAATTAAAAAAATAATGATATTTTTAGAGTTCAATTAATGAGGGATATTATCATTTGACAAGGTTAAACTTACCTGGTAAAATAGAACTAAAATCCTTTTTGGACATTTCTGTGCATCTACTTGTTTGAGGTGAAAAGAATCTCTCAAAGCACACTTAAATATTCAAAAGAACTTTTTAACCATATGCCTTTCGCTACGGTTATAATGTAATTAATAATTAATAATATAATTAATGCCGAACTCCCAATTAAATTGTATTCTTAATACAGGAGCATAAAATTATTCTCCTTAAACGGATTGCCAGTATTAGTATAACGTTTATTACAACAAACTGTAAAATATGTAGGCGTAATTTGATGCTCATTTTAATGTTAATGTTTAATTGTATTCAATTGTGAAAAATTTAAGCACACTGTTGAACGCAGCATAATTATTTTTCTGGTATCCAAAACAGTCTCATCTTAAACATTACTTGATAAAGTCATTGTTTCGTGTAACTGCAGAACTGTGGCGTTATGGTCAAAGACTGATATTTAAAACCATAACGCTACAGTTCTGCAGCTATGTTTCATGTTATATTATATATATCTGATATTCCAAAATCAAAGAAATCGTATTTCCAAGTGCTCCGTGAAATGCAATTTTAAATTTCTTTTTGTAATTTTTTTGTATAGATATTTTGTATATATATATTGATTGAGTCTATGCTTGGAGTATTTTTATTTTCTGTTGAATGATAAAAGAAAAATATAAAGAATTTTAGATACACCTTTTATATTACTTTTGCCGTTTTGATACATAATAATCTATCACAATGCATACTTTAAGATGTTGGAATGCTATAGCTAGACTTGACCTTGTTTAATTTTTACAAACCATATTTCGAATCACAAGCAGTGCACTTTTGACATTCTACATGTACATCGCGATCGTCTGTAAAATCGTCTGTGAAATCATCAGTAGACCCTGAGTCTTCTTCGTTAACATAATTGTTCGGAGAACAGACTGAAACACACACGTGCATTATATATACAAACATGTAAGTCTCGGTAAAACAAATTATCATCTAATAATACTCCAATATCGTTAATAATACCCAACAGAACATTCGTATATATCAGAGATTAATACATTACTGCCTCTCTCCAATTTTTTTTTTACAGAACACAGAGAGATAGGTACAGTGTATTAAGAATATTTTTTTAAATATGCTAACGATAAATATGGGCAAAAATAGAATATTTGAATCGGAAAAAACTTGCATTATGTTCACTGATGGGTATAGAATTTGGCATTGAATTAGAATCAATTATTTTTATCTTTTTCTTTACCCTTTGTGGGAATGCAGCTTTTACAACATGAATCCCCGTCGGTACATTTCACACATTCTATATGAAGTACATATAGGATAATTATAAGTACATGTAACATATACTTCTAAACTAATTTACATATGTAATAAACATAAATATTAAAAACTAACAAAACCATCAAAGCGTGTCATTATATTATATGAGAAACCAGTTTAAACTCCTGCATGTCCTGATTTGAATTATTATTAAGGATGTTTAACTCTGAATGCAGATCATTATCTTATATTACATGCACAGTTGTACTTCTTACCGCTGCAAATGTGGGTAATAGTTAAGGCTGCATCGGATAAAATCAGATTTCCGCACAAAATAAGTAATTTCACTACAAAAGATATTTTGTGAGGTTAAAAGTTGAAGCATTAAACAATAATATTTTTTTAAATTTTATTTGAAGGAATGAGGTTCAAAGAGGTGTATATATGATGTTATCTCAGATTGGCTGTTTTTGTTTAGAACAGCTTTGTTTTTCTGAGAATATACAGTAAAGTAGATGTAAGTAGTTACAAGAATGAACTAGAATTGAAATATATATAGTTGTTTCATCTAGTCAAGATCCTTATTCGGGTACAATTATTTGAACGTTTCATTTATTTATTTACTTCAATGTTGTCTTCGTCATTCTATTTATGAGAGGATATAAACTTACTTTCATGATAAAGAAAATTACCAAATGAATTAAATGAAATACTTAAATTGAAATTAGTCTTGAATTTACGTTCTATAAAAATATGAAAAATTCATCTGGATTTTTTTTTGTTCTTTTGTATCGCAATTTGCTGTGTTATTTGCACGGGTTGTAGGATTTCGAAGCGAAAGAAACTGAGTCAAAGTACGTTTATCTATGGAATCTGGATAGGGCCACGCAGTTTACTATCGCATCATCACACCGTCGAGGTTTAGATCGATATTGAAATGAAGTGATAATGCGATGACGATGAAGCGATGGTGCGACAATGCCATGTCGATGTTGCGATAGCACGATGGAGTAATAGTGCGATGATGTGATGGTGCAATAGTGATGACACGATGGTGCAATGAAGATGGCATGATAGTTCGATGACGATCGATGAAGAGATATTCACTGTCGTTCTATCGTGTTATTGCAACATCGTTATCGCATTATAGCACCATCGCATCATCGTCATCGCGCTATCGCATCATCACTTCATCGTTATCGCACCATCGCATTTTTAAGCTATCGCCCTTTAAGTCGATGCCCGATGGCGCGATAGTGAACTGCAAAGCATTGCTCTATCGTGATTCCATACTTTTCCCATTTTCTCATCTTAATATTTTTTCGCCAGAAAACATGTACCTACAGAATGAAGTATTATTTAAATAAATACCGGTATATGGATACCTATGAATCCACTTTACACTTTCTTATTTGATCAAACACCTTAATACCATTCCGAGGACAAGAGCAAGATTGACGCCACATTGCGTTTATGATCAAATATCAGAGTAAATCTTCGCTTTACATGTTTTATCTTTTTTGTATTGCCATTAAATACATGTAATCTATATAAAAGTTTTACAAATTGTCTGTAAATAAACAGTTTGTATTTATGCTAAAAATATTGATGAAAAATCAATGTTGTGCCAGGGGAGTATGCAACATGTTTTACGAGGAATGTATACTTCCTATGATCAGATCCTAAGAGGATGACCCTTTATTTTGACATATTATTGGTAGACATTTATCAGCAAACCAGTATTCAAGTGTATTTTACAAAGCATTGAAATATTAATTAGCCTCAATATGTTCCTTTCCTCGGAGTTGTGGTACGCTGCAGTGTTTGATCAAACTATAAAACGTAAAGTAGATCCATATACTCTATAGATAATGCTGTCGTCCGTAGACACATGTACACTGGCAATAAATATCCGTAATTTGAGAAAATGGAAAAAGCATGCACAATTATGTACCTTTACCCCGTTTCTTTCGCTTCAAAAGTCTATACACCACTTGCACAACGTACTGGTATTTTATAAATTTCAAATTATGAGGAATTAAAAAGCATTCAAATGCCGACAAAGATGCTTAAAAGAATGATAATAATTTTGGTTTTTTTATTATTATTATTATTTTTTTTTTTGCGCATACCATACACAGTTCAGTGACGTTTTGAAAGAAAAAAAGCTTATCTTTTAGATAGATTTTAGAGCATTTTTTCTACGTTTGAAAGCGACTAAAACTAATAGAAGATGAAAGCCATTGTTAAACGACATACAGATTAAAGTTAACTTTTCTCTCAGCACTTAAACACAAGTTAGCGAGTAAAATTTCAACAGACTTCCTCAAAACCGCTCAAATAAGCCAAACAGGCACCCTGCTAAAAATTCCCGCTTTATGGTTAGTTATGCAAGTGTATAAGAATCGATGCCACCAATAAGTTTATCGTTACTTGTCTTTGATTAAAAGTGCAAAAGTCATGTGTGTATATGGAATCCGGATAGGGCCAAGAAGTTCACTATCGCACCATCGAGCATCAACTTAAAGGTCAATGGCACGAAAATGCGATGGCGTGATAACGATGAAACGGTGGTGCGATAACGATGAAGCGATGATGCGATAGCGCGATGACGATGATGCTATGGCGCGATAATGCGATGACGATGGTGCGATAGCACGATTGAGCTATAGTGAATATCGCTTCATCGTCATCGTACTATCGCACCATCGTCATCGCACCATCGTGTCATCATACTGTCCTTTTTGACATAATTTATTTTATCAAATAAACTCTGCAATATGACTATTTTACTTTGTTACTTGTGATCATGGAACCACTATATTATGCAATTCCAATAGGGCCTTGGCCCCTATAACTGAACTCGATTGCACAATGGCTTTATACTCAAATGATGTTAAGCAAGTTAAAAAAATTTTGTGACTTTAGATTTATCCCCACTTTACTGAAATCAAACATATTTGAAATTACATCTACTTCGGTGTTGTTGTATAATTCACCAACTTTGGTCTTAGATTGTCCATAAGAGCAAAAGGTTTTGAAAGGGTGTGCATTATGTATCATTCATATTCCTTGTAGATGTTCATTGTCAACCCAATCTCTGTTTTATGCACCAAGATTAGTGGATTGCTACAACTCTTCTTCAAATTTTTCAGTGATTTATCCTGTAAATTTGGCATTATTACGGGAATTCTTTGACGATTCTGAATTAGAACATGTTTTTGGGGATAGTTTATTTCCTACAACAGTAAATATGTCCATTCCAGAATTGAAATTTTACAATCATTCCATAAATCAAATATTGGTAAATGATCAAAAAGCCCATTTGAGTTTGAAAAAAAAATGCTAAAGCAGCCAAAAAAGATGAGAAAATTTTCAAAACTTTGGCAGAACCTTTGATTGATGGTCAAATTGATATTCAAGATGATTGGTTAGGTACTTCTGACATTTTAACATATGTAGCATTACGTATTGCAGCACTGTGTTTAGGATGTTGTATTATGTTGGTTTTGAAATTTAGAAAACTTTCAACATCACTGTTAGTTCTACAACAAGTACAAAATGCTACCTCTGAAAAAGTTCCTTCTTTCATCTATGAAAAACTTGTAAATTCAACTCCCAATCAAAAAGACTTAAGTTCAACTTGGTTCTCAGAATTTACATGGATTCATGCTTTGGTCATTTTAAGTACAGTCCTACTGGCCATTTTAGGAATTCTTTTATACTTGGTGTACAATTCAAAGTCATGCAAAGGATCCATTTTAGCACTAGAATTAACTACATGTGGTGATAGTGTTATGGTCTTTATTACTAGATTGTCCTTGTGTCCTTCATTTTATACTATTACAACACCCCAAGTTGCAGATATTTCAATTACTCCTTTACTCAGCATGCAAATTATAGCCACATGGACAAATTTCAAAGTCACGGACAATCGAACCGACATGACCATTTCAATTCCAACAACCTTTACCCTTAACCCACTTACTCATCACAAACTCAAATGAATTTAGAAAAAGCCATTCAGTGCATATGTCATCTTACTACATAACAGTTATGCTTTCCATTTAAATAACCCACAAAAAACATGCTTGTTACTCTTAAATTTAAATGATGCAATGAAGAAAAGATTAACAATATTTTAGATTTTTTTTTTTTTGCATGTTTTAATTTTTTAAAAAAAAAACTTGTCTTGTCAACATTGCAATGAATCGCACAACTCAGTAGATTTTTTTTTTACCTTTTATGGAATATTTTCATTACAATGATCTCATTTATTTTTTGATTCTCTATTATTTTTTTTTTTGTCTTGTTGACTATTTTATAATATTAGTACATGTGTGTTTGTGTTAGAAAAAGCTCAGGGATCAAAATGAACATGAGATTATATGAGTTTAAGTATTGACTTTATGTATATGTACATGTAAATATTTGTCTTTTTTTAGTTCATGTTTTTTTTTTCATTTCCTTAGTTATTGTTTTAGACTAGTTTATAATGGCATAAAACAAATTATATTCACATATAGGTAGATTTTTTCTGTATAATACAAACAATTTTTTTATCCACGATGAAAATTTGAGCTTTCAGGGACGAAAGCAATGGTAGCAAGGGGGAAAATAGTCATATTGCAGAGTTTATTTGATAAAATAAATTATGTCAGAAAGGACAGTTATGATTAAAGATAAATTTCAACTTTGAATTTTAGTCAATATTTCAATTTTGTTTAACATGTATGTAGATAATGTAATATGATATTTGATATTATCATTTTATTGTTTCATAGGAATTATACAATCAAGATTTTATTTTATTTCCTGATACAATTTGAAATGTAAGTTGAAAAGTTGCTAATAAGTATTTTATTTGACAAAAAAGGAATGTCTTTGAAGAAAAAAATGAATACAGCTAATTGTCCAAAATAAATAAATCGTGTTACTCAGAATATTTGCCATGATGGATTGGTAAACTGTTGAAGCCTTTATATATATACAATTATGTCATTTTGTTGGAAAAAGAGTACAGCAGTAATTTGTAGATAGGTGATGTGTTTGTTGTACAATTCTTTATGGTTTCTTTTATCTTTTTTATCTAGTGTCAAAAATGCTATCACATAAAGTAGAATCCACTAACCTATTGTTAGGGGATTCACTGGTTAAGTGACAGGTCAAATACTAAGGTAATGGTCAGTTCATGTCACGTGATTTTTCAAAGTACGAGTTTTCGACTATTATTAATACAAATTAACAAAGAAAAACTAATTTGATGGATTAAAAATAATTTACGGCAAGTGTGGGTCTCCGAATGGAATTGCGCCCGCTCCTCGGCCATTTTATTCGGAGACGTTAATGAAGTTGTATCGTTTTTAAATCCATCCACGCTTTGCTTTTCCATATTACAGGTATGGTAAAATGTTTTATTTAGTTAATTTGTTTTTCTTAAAATTATAAAAAAAATTCTTAAATTATCATTTATTAACATTTAGCATTAATTTCTGAACTTTACAAAATTTGAGCTTTCATAATAATTATTTTAATACAACAATCTATTTTATAAGGAGATCAGAACAATTATATTTGCTAGTTCTCTATTTAGTTTCGTTGTATTTTTGTAGTTAGTATATATATAGTAGATATGTAGGTTTAAAGTTTGGCATGTTTTACGTCAAAATGGTTTTATGCCGGAAATATAATCATTATAACTCTCTAGTCGAAGGAGATAAATTTAAATGTATCCTGTATAAACAAATTTTCATGTTTTTAGTATTTCGGTTGGAAATTACATTGTTTAGATTTTTATGATACAGAGTGAGTATTTTTAATATTGCTTTATCACTCTATGAGTCACCAGATGTTAGGTAGGTTAGGGCACGCTTGTTTGTAATGCTTCGAGCAACTAACGATCATTTATTTTATTGTGCCTGGTGACTATTTACAATACATTCTATTCGGAGACGTTAATAAAGTTGTATCTTTTTTAAATTCATCCATGCTTTGCTCTTCCATATTACAGCACACCCAAACCTACATTGGACCTAGTGGCTGAAAAGCAGAATTATATTATCTTAGGGTTTCTCACAAGCCAGCGAGTTACATAATTCCCAAAATAAGTGCGGTCACCCAAAAGGGAGACACGACAGCACCATCGCGTCATCGCATTATCGCACCATCGTCATCGCATTGTCGCGCCATAGCATCATCGTCATCGCGCTATCGCACCATCACTTCATCGTTATTGCACCAACGGTTCAACGTCATCGCACTATCTCTTCATCGCACTATCTACCTAAATCTTGATGGTGTGATGATGCGATAGTGAACTGCGTGGCCCTATCCGGATTCCATATGTATATGATATTCGTGACGATTTTTTTTTTAGTTTTTGAATGCAAGACAGGACAATATTCTCTGTCACTGATATTACGCATGACGTAAAGTATTGAATGGCTTTAATATGACTGAGGTCAGCTTTTAAAATTGATTTTCAATGTTTCCAATGTTTTGGAGGTCCCTGTTTGCTCTGTTCCTATTTAGCATTGTTTAATTTTGGTCTTGAAAACTGTTCGTTATCTCCATATAATATTTTATTACATTAATTCTACGTTTACGTGTAAACTCATATGCATAGTTCCCCGTTCTTCATTACAAATATAACATCTAGAGAGAAAACAAGAAAAGGAATCAGATACATGTATTATCGAAAACCTACCTTGTATTTTGTTCATATTCGGTTTGTTGAAATTTTTTTCATATACAAGTTTATCTATCTAGTATGTACTTTTCCCTTCCCGTATGCAGACGATCAGTAACAATCAAGTCTTTATTAGTATTTAATGCACCAAATTATTTATAAATACATGTATAGACTGGTTTATCTAAAAAATAAAATTGATACATTCTATTTATCCAGTAAATTGGATTTGATTTAAATAGAAAGATATCCAAGTGCCTCTTTCCTTTCCTTTTCTTTAGCGCTACTGGTCAGATGCCAAAAGAGCTTATGCGATACTAAGCTTAAGGTATCCGGCGTCCGTTCGTCCCTCTTTCTGTCTGTTAGCTGTGTGTAAACATTTGTACTTCTCTTACATTTTTGTTTGATTTCAATATTACATGTACTTGGCACACAGGTAGATTACATTAAGATAAATAATTCTATTTATCGGTGTTTGATTTCGATGAATGGTGTTGACTTTTTTATGAAAAATAGAATTTTTTTGTGAAATACTTTCAAAATGCTATTCCCAATACAGTTTTAGTCTGATTCAGTGTTTCTTGGCACAGAAGTAGACTACACTTATATACATAATTCTGTTTACCGTTCTTTGATTTGGATGAATGGTGTTGCCGGGGTTACTAATAATAAAAAATTAAAATCTTAAATCTTAAAATGTAACTTCTTATACAGTTCCAGTATAATTATAATATAAAGCGACACGCACGAAGACTACACTGAGATGCATAATTGTATTTTTTTTTATTTTGATGAATGGTGTCGCCATTATAACTAAAATTGAAAATTCTGTAAAAAGTTTACTAAAAGCTACTTCTACAGTTGTAGTCTTCTTGTAATCTTGCCTCAAAAAGGGACTTGATCAAGGATCATTATTCTTTATTTATTGCTGTTTTAAAGTTTCAAGAACCAACGTTAACAGCTATTTCTTAACCTTTTTGTTAAAAAACAGTAGAACTACAGTTTCGACAGAGACTTCAGGTTATTAATAAACCTCCATTGGGCTTCCAATTACTAACATTAATAGAGAGCCAGTAAATGCGTGAATATTGTTTAAATAGTCGCCTTTATTTAAAAAAGTGATAACTTTTCATAAGAATGTAAAAATGATATAATTGAAACATCAGTTCATAAATATACATGAACTGCAGCATTATTCAACAACCTCATCTTCATCATGAATTGTATCAAGGCCTAGCAATAATAGAGATTTCTTTAGAAAAATACTAATTTTTTTTCATTCGAAAGAAGAACAAATTTTATTTTTAGAAAAGAAATCTTTTCTTGTTTCCAATTTTAGATCAATGGAAATTCTTCATAACCATCTGTCAGTGTTAAATATTCTAAATACATCCAACAGTCGATATGAAATTGAATTACAATACTCGGTTCCTGGATTCAAAAAATCCTTACACACACAGATTCACTGTACATATTAGGTTTTGGTAAATGCTCTATCAATTCTCTTTTTTATTTCTTTCTCCTTAAATTATTTCAGAAGAAAACTTTAAGAGTACTGCACAACAGAATTTTTGAGAAATGGTGTAAACTAGACATTGATGCTTAAATAACTTTCTAAGTAATTGAGGTTTTGCCATGTGACACTGAGCCGAGAGGACGTGTTTTGTCGAAGATCCGTGTGTTTTGGCTTATTTTTGGAAGTTTAGGTGCCTTTGTAGTGAATTTGAATTCCTACACTATTCCTATGCTTTCTACGCTTCTGTATATATGTTGTTCTTTTTGATTTTCGTGAATTTGATGGAATTATCTAACTTATTTAACTATTTGCTTGGATATCTAACTTGTGAGAACACCGTGAGTAGTGATCAGTGATTACCGTGTCCACTTGTTACCTATCCTGAACTGTCTATCACTCGTGCATGTTTGCAACGGTTCATTATCTTAGCAGTCTAGCCTGAGTGTTTGACCGTTATCTACTCAGCTGTAAAGTCATGGGGTTAATCAAACCTATATATTTAAAGGACAAGGAAGTGCAAGTGAATGCAACAAATGTTAACCGTATTTCTGATTATGACTAATCTGTTGAAGCTGATAAAATTGTGTCAGATATTCTCTGTGTTCAAAAAGACAGAAAGTTGTGGAGTAAGTCTATGTCAAAAACATTAAAGAGCAGATCGAAACTTCCACAGGAGGGTTTTGATGTTAGAACAAGCACAACAATGTCTATGACAACAACCCCTTCTCTGTGGGAATCAAGGACCCATCTGAACAGGTACTGAAGATAACTGTCAAAGGGGTCCTGCTGTCTGTAGATGGTGAGGAGATCATGAAAATGCTTAAACAATTCGATCTTAATTTCATAAGTGATCTGACGTTTGAGAAAATTGAACATACAGTAACACGGAAAATGACTGAGATTTTGAACGGAAATTGTTTAATTTATGTAAGTACGCTTTTAGAAGGAAAATTTCTCCCTCGTACATGCAGATGTGCTGGCTTGCAGTGCTTTATCTACCATTACGAACAGCCTTCTCATGCGTATTTTATAAAATTAATCAATATTAAGATCTCCGTGAATTCTTTATAATTTTTATGAGTTAACACGCAGATACTTTCAAATCAAATTAAAGGAATGTCCTATACACCAGTGGTATGTTTAACAAAAGTACGTACGACTTAGACCAAAAACTTTATAGATTGTAAATCTTTGTAAAATTGATAATTCTGTATAAAATTGGTGGTGTAAGATTAACTGCCTACATTCGTAGAAAAATATTGAATTCATTATCAATAAAATATACACATAACGTAAAGTATAAATAAGGAAGTTTTAAACAGAACTAAATGTTGGTCTTAGTCATAAGTTCTTCTGTAAAACGAGCCCTGGTTCCGTCTTTGCATGCAATTTTTTAACTTACGTTTATATTAATTCTTATTATACTGAAAATAATATCATATATTAGATAATTTGAAAACGTACCTTGTGTATTGGTCATTTTATATTACATGTTAATATAAAAAAAAAAAAAACTCTTCCTAAAACTCCTTCTGCATGAATTTTATATGTAGATATTAACGGAAACAGGAAGTTTAATTTTTAATTACATCTCATGCATCTGTGTTTATTTTGCTTGAGCTAAAGCATCAGTTGGGTTTTTTCCTCATTATAATTCGTTCAGCGTCCGCCTAGTCTGTCCGTCCCTCTGTAAATTTTAGACATTTTTTATTTCTTTTCAATAACCACTTTACATCTCAACCAATTCAACTAAGCATATTCTCAGCTTATTTTAGGGGATTGAGGGGGTGAGGAAATAGGGCCAGATTAGGTTATAATTATTAACAGCCAGTCCACGAGAAAACCATGCAAAATTCAAAAATTTGTCCAAACGGAAGGTTGCAACTTGGGAGTTTTTAGTGGCTTAAACTTTTCTACATAAAGGTAGAAGTCAGAATATCCACAAAAAAATGTTGAACCCTGCATCTATTTTTAGTAACAGCTCATTTGCATATATGTCGAAAATCACACAAAATTTAATGGAAAATGTATACAAATTGATCAAGTCAAAAAGTTACCTTTTGTCATCAGTTTATTTTCAAATTTTGTTTTATTTTCGAAGTCATGGTCCAATTAACACAATTAATGAGGAAAAACTTAATTCAAATGAATATTTTATTTTTTTACACATCTATTTATAGATCCTAAATAAATGAGTATGATTTTTTTAGCCATTTTTAGATGCTCGTTTCTCTCAAGACCAAGGTTGAAATTAAATTTAATTAATTGTTACTTTAAGAATGATCTACGGTCTACTTTTTAGTAAAATATTGAGCTTGGGAAATAATATCTACATGTTGTAAATTAACTTTGAAATACCATATTTTGCTATAATTTCACATATTTTAAATAACAGTCTTTTACCATATTTTTGGATTATTTCTATGGTATTTAAATGAAAAAGAGAAGATTCTTAATCTAATATATTTTCCAGAAGAGGAATAAATGATCTGATTTTAGCCCCTTGTTACCAATTTGTTGGAGTTAAATTGTTATCTCCCCTTGTTGGAACTCTTTAGTATTATTGGGTAAAAAGTGACAGGTATGTCAATATGGAAAGAAGAAAGTCATGTATGATTATTTTTTCTTCACCTAGGGAGTTGTTGTGGAGCATTATTGCACTAAGAAAGAGGGAAAACTTATTTTAAGATATTTGAATGTAAGAAAGAAACAACAACTTAGCTTGAATAAACAAATAGCAGGCCCATAGGAAACAATTTCAGTGTGGTGTCACTGGAGGAGGGACAACCTACATTATTACCTACCAAGAATTCCATAGAAAGTAAAAAAAGAAATAAAAGGTCATCAGATGTTTTTTTTTCTATTTGGGGCATATACATGTAGTAGCTAAGTTACCTATAGGGTTCTGTCCTCGGGGAATCTACATGTATTTCATGGTAATTACTAGTCCGAAAAATCTGACGTTTTTCTGGCGTTTTTACGATTTTGATATTTTACATGCCAGGAAAACGTCAGAACCGGCGCCATTACGTAAACCGGGAAATCGCCGCCTCCAACCGGAGGCGGGCATTCTCTGGTTGATTTTAGATTCTTGCGAACTGAATGAAATTTCAAAGTCAAAAGTTATCAATAATACAATACTTAAAGAACTTACCAATATAGTTTTTATGGTTCATTTATGAAATAAATAATCCGTTGAAAAAGATTTTATCACACTGTCGAGATTTGTCTTCAAATCGTGCATTTTAAAATCTTGAATGTCCTGTTACGAAATGTGGAGTGAGATTTTCTTTTCAGCGATACTGGTGAGTACTAGAGCCATTGTGCTTTTGATAAATTCTGATTTCGGCATTTAGGTTCGGTTCACAAGTCCAGTTGAAGACGGCGAAATTTCCAGTTTTCTTAATGGCTCCGGTTCTGACGTTTTCCTGGCATGTTAAATATCAAAATCGTAAAACAGCCAGAAAAACCTAAGATTTTTCGGTCTAGGTAATTAACAGTTACAAAATTTTTCCTAACAAGTACAATTGAACAGGAAATTAAATCAAATAATAACAGAATATTTTTTAATCAAAATATACATTTAATATTTTGTTTAAGGCACCTGGCCCCCGTTCAAGTTCTAGATCATTTAATTCACTCAAACCATTTCAGGTACATGAGGACAATGAAGAATATTTACAACATATAAATTCAGGTCAGAGGTACAAGTATATGATACATAATCAGAATATGAAAAGGAAAAGAAAAAAGAAAAACACATATGAAACGTGTAGTAATGAAATAAGCGAGGGGAAAAATCATGGAGGACTGACTAATTAAAATCATATATTTTAAATATAAACGTACGTAGTTTTCTTAGTGTCTTTAGCAGCTTGATTTGTCATCAGTTGAGAAAATATCAGAACACAAACAGGTATTTGATTGCATACTCTCAACAAATTCAAAAATAATTGGTGATTTCAATCTACATCTAATTTGTTTACTTTTCATAAATTTAGTGTGTTTTTGAGTTAACCAAACACCGTAATTCCTAGGAATATTTTTAATTTTACATTACATACTTTAAACTACTGTGTTACGTAACATTCATATATTGATAAAGTCAGATCTCCCATCAAAAATCATCATTCAAAAGGAGATGCCACCGATTTAGGTACCCCACTGATAAAGGATCCTCCACGATAAATATTGGCAAAATTATTCGAGGGAGGGTACTACCCCCCCCCCCCCCCCGCAAGAAAATATGAGTCGTTACTGCAGCCAAAACTTTGCCAGGTTGCAGTATAAAGTGGTAAAAATTAAAAACCGGCTATAAACATGATAAAAGACTGGATTCATATTCATTCAAAGTGGGGGGGGGGCTATCAAATTTTGTCAAAATTATTTTCAAAACATTATTAACAAAACTGTATAAGGCTTTGTAAATTAATATTTGATACTTTTTCTGAATCACCATAATGGTATTATTAATACCATTGCAGAGAGATAAATTGTATTTTTTAAAATGTTATTACCGTCTTCCTTGGAAGACGGTATTGTATAGTTGAAGTTTTTTACAGTCTTCGGACTATGCACTTCCTCTCTTTTGTGATTGGTAGAAAATGCATGATGAGAAAATTTTCAATTATTTCATTGGTTGAAATGCTGTTCAAGGCAAGGGAGATAACTTTCTGATGATCTAATTTTCGTACGACTTAACAATTTTGCAAGATTTTCAATCTTAAAAAAAATGACAAAACGAACAACAAAATCAGCAGTAATTAATTCCTAATAACATGATTTTTTGTATAGCAAAAAATAAAAAGATCTCTTTAATTTCATTATAAATAAAATTTGATTTTTATTGCTTGCAGGCTTTACAATTTGTTATTATTCTTTTCCCCTTTCTTGTTTGAAGAAGGAAATGGAATCGGCCGAGGTTTGCCGAAAGCTCTCGGCGAGTCAAAGTTTACGGAGATGACCGAGCGACAACCGTGGTAGGGCTAATGCCAGTAAAAAGCTAATGTAGAAATACAAAATCAAGAAATTCAAAAGAATTATACGGCCTGATAGGTGTAGATCAGTTTACAGTTTAAGTTTGTTGCTAAAGACGGGAAGCTTTTTAAAAAAGCTCTACTTGTATATATATCCACTGAAAACAGTAGGGGAGGGGGTATGTCAGTCGATCAAGGTCAGGATATTAAATATACGAGTGTGTCTAGTACCCAATCGTTTAACCCCATCCACCTCCCCACAATTTACATACTAATATTGAAATGGATAAAATAATGAAAAATTATAAGGGTTCTGGAGGGGTGTTGCTAAAACGAGGAACGGAAAACGTATTATATTTTTTTTATTTTTGATTAAATCACTTTAAATACACAAATTTATAAACAATATATTATATTTTATAAGTTCAGTCCCCCATTATTTAATTCAAGTTGATTGATTCGTGTTCATAAAATCTCTTATTCACGAAAATCGCAGTCATAGCAATGACGTAGAAACGATTTTGAAAGGGTCGGGGGGGGGGGGTAAAATTAAACTTCTCTAAAAAGAATTTGCCAAGCGAAAAAAGAAGACAATTGTTTGATTCGGGAGGTGGGATAAGAGTACACTCCAGCATCTTTCATTTTCTTAAACCCCTTTATGGAGTATTTTGTATAACATCTCTTGTCAGTATTTTTATAAGATTTTACCAATTTAAAATTGGCAGAAAGCAAACAACTTAATTACTGAAGGCTCAAATTTTATATGTTCAAGTCTCAAAATTTATATGAATGAAACTGAAATAGAGTCCGTTTGAATTTAAAAACTTGTAATTTCCCTTTTATTTATTAAAAAGAAACTAACTTACAAAATGTAAGGAGCATGAATATTCATATGATTGTTGAAAAATTGCAAGTAGGCCAATACAATTTATTATGCTTTTTTTCATTTCTAAACAATTGGCAAAATGCTAATCCTCATACTAGGGGTAATTTCTGACAATTTAGTTTAATTTAATTTTTAATTTTAATATTTTTCAATCTAAATTATTATTTCAAAGAAAATTGTTACATGTTTCAATATCTATCAACAACTGTTTAATTTAAAGTTCTATATTTGACTTTGTAACCCATTTAAATTTGAGCAATTTTTTTTCAAAAATTGGCAATTTGTTAATCCCCATATCTCAATTATTTATTATTTCCCAAGCTCAATATTTTGCAAAGATAATGTTTAGAGTTATATTTGTACAATAAAATAAAAAAAAATTAATTTCAAAGATTGGTCTGGGAAGATTTGGGGCATTAAAATTGTAATACTTTTGGCAATTTTTGAAAATTGGCATCATGCCAATTTTCAAGAGTTGTGTGCCCTTTGATATATTGCATATTTGATTATGAAAAATGTCAATTTTGAAAGAACATAGTCTTAAGTTACTTAAAAATACCTTAATGGAAATGCAAGTTAAATTTTGAGTAAAAAAAATCAAATGTGAATTTTACCATTATTTTTGAAATTTTTAAGTGCATTTGCACTTAAATGTGCAAAAAGGAGGTGGCGCTGCCTACAGCTGCCATGTTGAATGATGGGAATTTTTTTGGTCATTTTTTAATAACATATAAT